GTTTATTTTATGTTAAAGTTATTATTTTGTGCTTATAAAGCTTTTATTTTATGCTACTGTAACTTATTATTTTAACTTTAAATTCTTGAATCAGTGACTAAGATAACTCTTGTTTTGGACGTGAAGACTATAGCTTGAAATCCAGTAAGTAAGCCACCTTCTCATTTGAACCTGGTACGTTTTTTACAAAGCTCTTTTGAAGTGATAGCATAATGTTCTATGAACTCCATAGCCATTCAACAAAAATGGGCTATAGCGCAAACACCTTTCATTTCTCGGCAGTCCTTTTGTCATCGTTGACCTCACAGTGTTATCGAGATCGCAATCAATAGTGCGTTTAGTCTGACAGTAACTTAATACACTTGGCAACACAGCTTGTAACAACTGCATCCACTGAGTGTGGAGCACATTCCTAATTTAAATCTTGACATTTTTAACTGCTTTTAAGTTGCCAGTTTTTAGTATATTTACTTTAGGATTAAAAAAACCTATGTAATTTTTAAAAACACATGTAGTGAAAGTTAATTCACTTATAGGTATTAGTTGTAGGAAAATCCAATTTATGTTTTTAGGTTATAGAACCAAAATACCTGTGTTGGTATGAAAATAATTGAGATAATCTGAGTTATAGCTTATTTAACTTTAAAACAGTAAATATATACACACATTTATGTCAACTGATCTTTGACAAGGAGCAAACACAATTAAATGGAGCAAAGATAGTTTTTTCAACAAATGGTATCGTAATAATGGGATAATCACATGCAAAAAAATAAACCTAGACACAGACTGTACGCCCTTCACCAACATTACCTCAAATGTAAAATGCAAAACATACAAACCCTAGGAGCTACCCCAGGAGGCCACCCAGCTGGCTTGGGCATGGTGCTCCTTTTTAGAGACAACAAATTCCTACCCATGAGAGAAGTAATAGATAAGCTGGACCTCATGAACATTAAACACTTCTGCTCTGCTAAAGACAGTTGCAGAATGAAAAGACAAGCCACAGGCTGGGTGAAACTATTTGCAACAGACACATCGGATAAAGGATTGTCATTCAAAATAGTCAAAGAACTCTTAACCTCAATAGTAAGGAACAAGCAACCTGGTTAAAAAATAGGCCAAAGACCTTCACAGACACCTCATCAAAGGAGATACAGAGGACATAAGGCTAGGAAGAGATGCCCTACATCGGATTCCATCTGGGAAATACGAATTAAAATGAGATACCACTACAAATCTACTGGGACAAATGGCCAATATCTGGAATACCTACACCATCACACGCTGGTGGGAATTTTGAACAACAGGAAGTCTCACTCATTGTTGGTGGGAATGCAAAACGGTATGGGCACTTTGGAAGGTAGTTGAGTGGTTTCCTAGAAAACTAAACATCCTGCTACCATAAAATCCCGCAGCCACACTCCTCAAAGTCTACACAAAGGAGTTAAAAACTTACATCTACACAAAAACCTGCACGTGGATATTTATAGCTGCTTTTTTCATAATTGTCAAGATTTAGAAGCAACCAAGATGCCCTCTGCCTGGCGAGTAGATGAGCCAACTGTGCCCCGTCAGGACAAGGGAACACCCTTCAGCTCTACAAGGGGGTGGGCTAGAGAGCCATGAAGAGGCCCGGAGGACCCTTAATTCTTTCAAAGTTAAAGAAGCCACTTTGGAAGGGATATATACTCTGATTCCATTGTATGACTTTCTGGAAAAGGCAAAGCTGTGGAAACGATAAAACAATCTGCGGTTGCTGGGGGTCGCAGGGCCCGGCCGGAGGGAGGGGCGGAGTCAGAGGGTCGTCGGAGCGGTGAAGACACGGTGGGTGACACTGCAATGCTGGGCATGCACCATCCTACGTTTGTCCGCGTCGGTGCGATACGCGACGATATACGACGCCAAGAGAGACACTATCCTAGGAGCAAGAGACGCCACTGTGGACGAGAGAGATGAAAGGCCTTCCTGCTACGGAGCTTGTATTTCAGTGGGAAACAAAACAGTAGAACCGACAAATATGTAAATGTCTATATTTGATAGAAATAAATCTTGGAAACTGAAAATAAAGCAGAGAAATGCAATGTAAAATGTTTGGAAAAGAAAGAGTTTTAGGCCAAGTGGCTCCAGGCGGCTCTTCTGAGAAGACGTGGTCAGCACGGAGGCCTGTGGGCGTGCGGGCTGGTCTGGGAAGAGGTGTCCAGGGAGAACGGCCTCTCCGCGGACGGAGGACCAGCGGGAGCCGCCGGAGGGAGCGAGAGGAAACCGGGAAGGGCGGCGGGGAAGGAGGGCCAAGAGCCCCGGAGGCCGGCCCGGTCTGGCTCACCGGCCGCGCCGCCTCTGGCGCACGCTGTCCCCTCCGCGGGCAATGCTCCGCAGGCCTCGGCTCCAGGGACCTTTCTAGCAGCACCCGCGCGCTCTGCCCCGGCACGCGGCTGTGGCTCCCCTTCCCAAGCCTTCGGGCAGCGATCGGGCGCTGCGGGCGCCCAACATGGCAGCACCAGCGGGCGCCTCGTGAGGCCTTGGCGTGTGGCTGCGAAACTGGGGCATCTAATTTTCATGAACTACATTTGACGAGCCACGCGTGACTTGCGGGCTTTCCTCGCGCAGGGCGGCCGGCCGGCATCTGAGCCTCGTGGGCAGCTGCGGGGCGGGAATCGCGGGCGAGGGAACCCTGGCTCGGGCGACAGCAGAGGTGGCGGGGAGAAGTGGGGAGGGCTGGGCGTGCTCAGGGTCTGCTGAAGGGTTCGCGGGACCTGAAAGGTGGTTCAGGGTCAGCGCAAGACAGGCGGCCGGGCACCTGCAAGGCGGGGTGGGGAGCGGCGAGCCGGAGAGGCCCCCAGGAAGGACCGGCGGCGGGAGCCGCAGGGCGCAGTTCATCCTCGTCAGAGCGCGGAAACTAACGGATACCCGAGTGGAAGAGGCCAGCAGGTGGGCGGACATGCCGGTCTGGAGAAAAGCGGCGACCTGGCCTACGCACAGTGCATCCGGGAGCTATCCGCACCCCGCAGCAGTGTGAGGCCGGGGCGCTAGATGAAGTTGCCCAGAAGCTAAGACAGAAAAGGGAAGCGGTTCAATGACTGTGTCTTATTAATTAATCAAAACCTGGGGAAGATGATAGAGAGCACAACCTACCCTTCACGATGTAACGTTTCGTGACCCAGTCAGAAAAGGATGATAAGAAGCAGACTGCATGTTTTTTTATCTGGCCAGCACTGGGAAGTAATGTGCAGGAAAGGACGGGAGACACGTGGTCCTCCGAGGGGACCTGCTGCCAGGCTCCTGTCCATCAGCACAAAGGGGACACGCCGCAGAGGGTGCGCTGGCTATGCTACCACTGACACTATAAAGGTCACTGTCGTCTGGCTGTATTTTAATCACATAATGAAATATGAAAACCCGAACCCTGTACAGCTTTATACATGTAAGGCGATGTCCCACGTCATTCGAGCTGAATGACGAGCAATGTGATGCTGGAGCCGGGCTGTGCGCGCCCGGGGGATGCACACCGCGGGGCGGGGCAGCTCGAGGCTGCGTGTCAGCTGGCTGGGCTGCGGGGCCCCGCGGTTTGGGCAAACACCAGTCAGGACGGCGCTCTGAAACATCTTGTAGGCGTGATGAATATCTACACCCAACTGACTTGAAGAAAACTGTGTCATTCTCAGTAATGCGGGTGGCCCCACCCGGGGAGATGGGGGCCTGCGGCGAAAAGCCTGAGGCCTCCGGAGAGGGGGGATTCGCCGGCGCGGCGACCCTGGCCGAGTGGGCCGCCCGCCCGGCCTTCAGGCGGGCCAGCCCCACAGTCAGGACGGCTCCCTGACATCCATCGGTATCTGTGCCTTCGCCTCTGCCTCCCCTCTGGGTGTCGCCCACGCTCGGCGGAGTGGGTCCGCGTTCTCCGGGGAACCCCAACGGGACTCCCGGCCTCCGCTGGTACAGCCTGTGCAAAGCCACGGGCGTGGACCTCAGCGCGGAAACCTGAGCTCCCTCACTGTACTAGGGACAAAGTCTCTGTCAGACCGTCCCTGAGATGCTCTGAAGGTGAAACAAGAAGATCCACGGAGAGTCCTCAGTATGGTGCTTGGCACACAACACATACTTGGTAATTTAGACGCCATGGTATTGCTATTACTATAAGAAACAAATACTCAGTTTTGACTTTTTAAAGACATTAGGTTGTAATTTTACTTTACATTCAAAAATAAAAGTTTTCTTACATCTTAGGCTTGAAATGAAAGAACAGTGGTCAAATGCAATCCTGGTCATATTCAAATGTTCTTCCCTAACTAACATAACTTCTACCCGAATTCTTCTTAGGAGAGTCCTCTCTGCAGTTAATCAACCCATAAACCCGGCCAGAGAGAAAGTTAATAAAAACACTTATTGGGATCAAATAAAATGAAGATAAAAGAGGAAGGACATTAGCAGTCTAAAGAAGCTGCTTCACTGCCAGTTTTCTAGAAAACTTCATTGTGCAGAAGAAAAAATTTTTTCTGCCCATAAAAATTTATAATTTTATGCCCACAAACTGTAATTTAATAATAACCAATTTTGGCTTTAATTCTACTATAATATCATAAATGCCCTAATTTGAGATTCAACACCTCTCGAGAGACTAAGAAAGAAAATATCAAAGAAAAAATTTAAAAGGAATGTATTACTTCTCCATAGTAAATGCTTATATTGTTACTTGTATTTAAGAAGGATTAAGAAAGATATAAATTTAATAAGTAGGAAGCTCTGACTCTTTAACATTAAAATACTTTCCTAAACAAATATTGTATTTTGTTACACATAATTCTAAATTAGAAATAACTTCCATTGGAGCTACTTTTAAAAGTTCAAATTTTCTTCTAAGCCATTCTAAAAAGACATCACGAAAGATACCAGGAAAAATATAGTAATTTTTAAATACTGTCAATCATGTTCTCTGAGTAATTTAACAGTGTAGGGGCCTTTTTGCCTGTATTCTAATTAACCTGTCACGCGCGGTCACCCACCTGTGCGAGACCGCGCCCCAGGCCCCGTGCTTGTTGGTGAGGATGTTGAGGATCTTCTGCTTCAGCTGGTTCGCGGTCACGTGGTCCCGGTGCTTGGCCGCGCTGATGAGATGGTCGCACATCTTCTCCTCCTCCCGCCGGTCGGCGGCGTACTGGGCGCACTGCGACTGCGGGGACACAAGAGCAGTGCAGCAGGGCTGATGCGCAGCTCGCCCGGCGCGCAGCGAGGCACGCTAGTAACTCCGAAAACCTGACCCTTTGACACTTTATTCTAAAGAACACACAAGGTCACTTTGCAAACGTGTAAGACTGTGTTCTTTGTGTGTGTCTATACACACGCAGATATAAAATAACTGGGATGATGTGACTATCTGTGTTCGTGCCTGTTGCTATTAGTAACATAGCTAAGCATTCTCATCTTGTCTCAAAGGGGTTCAACATGAACATAAAGATGGCCATTTCTTTAATTCTGTTGGATGTTTTAATGACAACCTTGGTGCAGAGAAGATTGACTATAAATTTTAACATTACCAAATGTGTAATATGAGTTGTATAACTAGGAAGGGAAAAAAATTATACATCTAAAAAATACATATAACAAGTTCACATTCGTCCTTACTATGGAAAAAGCCGTTCGGGGAAGGTGCTTGAACACACCCCCTCCGTCCATCTACTGTCGCGGACTACGGCCACGCACGCTCCTTTCTTTCACAGAAATAGCCCCGCAGCAACCCGAGAAGGACTAATGCACGTCCCTGTCGTCTTTTTGTACAGGGCCTCACCAGTCAGCACAGGGCTCTGCCTCCACAATGAGGTTAACGTTTCATTAGCTCATCAGAGAACAAAATTAAATTTTCATTTTTCTTCCTTAACAATCACAGTGATTAACTAAAAAAAACTTAACCGTGAAGTAACCCCCTCACATTACATATACCTCTTCTCTTAATTACAGGCTTATATGGGAGACAGAGAAATTCCTGAAAAGTCCCAGTAAAAGGGCCTGACTTTTCTAAAATCTTCCACAATTTAAACACGATAAGCATTTGGCGAACTACGTACACACTCCCCCGCCCCCGCCCTCCCACATCTCCGCGATTACTAACAGAACTCCAGCCTGAAAAGCGCAGATCCGCACACCTGGGTTAGAGACAAACAACAATGTACGTTCATCGGTAACAATGGCGATACTCTCACAATTAGATTTCCATTAGTATTTTCTGTGTACATAATCTAAAAATCGCTGAGTCCTCATGTCCTCCTCCATAGCTGCTTATCACGCGTGGCCATGAGCCCTCCGCAGAGTGACCTCATGTCCCTGGGGAGGAGCTGGCATTGAGTGGGTGTGAAAATGAAAGTTACTCTTTCTGTGCAGAGAGCACAGATGCACTTACAGTTCAGAAACAAACCTGCAGCGTACTAATGGTGATCACTGGGAAATATGTGGGGTCAAAAAAAATAATTCCTTTGGGGGCAGTGATGAAAAAGCAGTTGGAAAGCGCTGCTCTTCACTTACTGTCATTTTGGTTAAATATATGTTAGAGCCAGTAAATAATACCTAGCTTCATAAAATTCTATTTTAAATGCTCCCGCATGACAACTATTGATTTGCTTATATCCCCATAAAATATTTTGATTTTCTTAGAAAAAGAGGGTGGGACAAAAATAGGTTTACAGTTGTTCATATGGAACATAATCCAATAATTAATAAACAACAAGACAAGAACAAACTCACAGGTGAAAATCTGCTTTTGCCCCGCCCTGCGTGACTGAGTCAAAACTGGCCCTGCACGGACTTCAGGGAAAAGCCGCAATCTTAGTACTAACCGAAGTCAAGCGTTAACAGATTATTATTTTGTTTACAGTTCTGATGTATTTTATACCCCAAGACACTTTCGGAAGAACAGGTCACGCCATCTTGTCATATCCTGATAGATAAATTGTTCAGGTGACACAAAACTTCACTGTGACAAACACGTAATTGTTGATGTACTTTCATCACAGTTTAAAATCGGGGGTAATTTTTTCAGAATGAGGTTTCTGCAGTCTCACATGGCAGACAAATGGAGCAGTGAGTTCTGGGCCTCGGGCCTTTCAGCCGGCCAGGTCAGAGGTCACCAGACCGAGGACATCAACTTGCATGACTAGGAGGGCTGGTTCACGGAGATAAAAACCCCATCAAAGCGGAAATCGCGGGCTCCGACCTCCAGCCACCCCCGCCCGCTGGCTGGGGGCGCCCGAAGGAGCAAGCCGGTGGGGCTTGGACAGGCAGTCCCGCGTCAGCCCGGCCCCGGCCGCCTGCGTGCTTCTGAAACCACTTCTGCTTCGTTATTTGAATGAAGCGAGTATTTCTTACATTCAAACAATGAAATCAGAATGTTTGTGGAACGGAGCCAACATAAATAATGGTGAATAATTATTGACATGTTATAAAATTTTAAATTAAAAAATGTCTATGGAATATATAGCACTCCAATATCCTTTACTGTTTGCATATAAAATAGAAATGATACTTAATTTGTTCTTTATTCAAAGTACTTACGAGGGATTTTTAAACTTATATTTCCATACATACATATAGGTCTACATATGTATCACACAGTAGCAATGCTACAGTTGTCATTAAAACATCGATTATAAAAATAAAATATGAACTAAAATGCTCTGCGGTCACTCTAAAGATGGACACATTAACAAGTAACAAATTACTGAATGTTTGGTAAAACTGAGCTTCTTCCTATGACCTCTTGTTATAACCAGGTCTAATGGGAGGTACACTTTGCAAGCTTCAAAATCACTAAAGTAATTACATTATAAAATTGTATTGTTCACCGGGGATGAGTCAGGAGACCCGCCGTCCGCCGAGCGGCCAGTCACAGGGCCGGGGAGACCGCTTCACGCTGCGAATGAGCGGCCATGAACGGGCGCTCTGAGCCCGACCTTTCCTAAGAACCGAAGCGCCCTCGGCGAGATTCCCCTCCTCCTGCACCCCGCTCGGTGTAAGCTGCCATGGGGGGGCCGGCGTGTCCCAGAAAGGCAGACGTGAACCTGTTCCCACCTCACCTCGAACTCCGCGTGTTTGTGTACGTCCTCTGCTCTCTGCCTGTTCAAAATAAACTCGGCTTCGTTCGCAACACGGACAATGTGGTCCTTCATAGCATGGCACAGTAATCTAGAAAGAGAAACACCTTTGTAATTATTATTCTCATTAAGGAGCCAGTCTTCAGTATTACAAATACTAATTATGCACAAATTTCAGATAAAGCTACATGATAAAATTTAGTTTGGATTATATTTCAGTGACCTTCGTGGTATAGAAATATGCCATATGACTGTTAGAGCAATGTTTCACAGCGTGTCCTGTGAAAAAATCATTCCGCGCATTCAGCAAAGTTTGTGAATGCAATAAAAATAAAGAGAGTTTGGAGAAGTGTTTTAAAATGGTCAAAACAATAGAATTCACTATCTCGGAAGTAAATGCTCCACACGAAAGCTCGATGACCATGTGTCAGGAAACCCGTCGGCCAGATTCCTGCTGTGACCCGATGACAGGCCCTCACCGCTGAGGTGTGCGCCTGAGACTGAGGTAACATCGCATGTCGACTGTCACTAAAAATACAAAGTGCTTTAAAGTAAAAAATACAGATGATAGGACTCTGCTAAGAGTCTAAATTCTAAGATGGAGCTACAGTGAAAACAAGTTTAAAAATGTAACCATGGGGAAAAGGCATTGAACAACAGAAGTCATTTTTTAAAAATATTCATATTATTTTTTAAAAGTGCAATAAAATATACAGTGAGAAGCCGACCACGACCTCCCCTCCCTGCCTGATGTGCAACTTCCACAGGCACCCGATGTGACTAATTTCTTACAAATATTTTCAGACATTTAAAAGATACACATAAGAAAATACAAATATATTATTTTTCACCACTTTCTTACACTAGTATTAGAGTACTATGCACCCTTTTCTCTCTGTAGCTTTCCTCACTTGGCGTTGCGTCTATCTCGTTGCCCAGGTAGAACTTGAAAGTTCTGCGGAAGGAACCAGAGGTCCCCGAGGGAGCCAGGCAGCTTTAACAGAAGACCCCGTTCACTTCCAGCCCACTGAAATGTGACTTTAGGATAATCCCACACTAAACTCATCATCCCTTTCTGTCGACTCTACTTTCATAATGTGTTTCAATATGTGCATTCATTCATTCCATTAACATTGGTTTAATTCAGGCCTGATTCGTCTCTCATTTGGATCACAGTAGCTTCCCAACTTTCCTGCCTCTTCCGAATCTTCTGTCTTCCAGTGTACTTTTTACGATGCCATGAGTGTTATTTATGACTAAATTTGTTCAGTGAATACGTATAATAGACAACAGTCAAAGTTGTATCATACAGACGCCTGCCTGCTTCCCCAGCCGAGCCTGCAGCCACTTTGCCGTGCCTGTCCCCTGTTCCAGAAATGCCTCTGCAGTTCCCTGAATGCGTCTGGCTCTCTCAGGACCTCTGTGTGTGCCACCTGTCCTTCCTGCCACGCCTGTCACCCCTGCTCCCGACAGGGCCAGAGGACCTTGCCTCCTCAGTTCCTTATACATCTGGGCAGTACGATATTTGTCACATTGTCTTATGTTTATTTTTTCTTTCTTCTCCTTTTAACAAGCCTCTCTCAAACTGTGAGGCTATTGAGTAAGTTGCAATGCCGAGCCACCTCCGTATCTGATGTGATCTGGGCGGCCCTGTCCTGAAGTGCGGGCTCCTCCATGTTTATACCGAAGGGAGAAAGGGCTGAACCAACGTAGGACGGCGGGCCAAGCACATTTTGGCTTTCAATGGTGAGGCAGTTTCCTGACTGTAAAATTCTATGAAACACAGAAAATGAGGTAAATAAAAATGTCCCACAACTTAGGAATGCCTGTTACAGAGCATTCTCCTCCTCGCAGCATCTATAAAACATAGGAAGGGAATGAAATAGTCCTCGCCTTTGAATGCAGATTTATTTTTCAAAAGAAGGAGGAAAAGAAAACAATTTGTTCAACCCCAGTCATCCCTATTCTAAACCAGGAGTTGTGGCCGTGGGAAGGGAGAAGTCAGGAGGCAACATGCCGCATCTTATTTCCAAGGGAACGGTTACAACAAGGCAGGTATCCACGTTCTAGGGAGTATCCAATGTTAAGTTTGTTACCATTTTACTTGCTAGTCTTTGCCCCAAGACTCTGAGATCCTGAATTTTAAATATAAATAATTCCTGTAATAGGATGAAAGAAGAAAATATCAATAGAAAAGGCAGTGTGAGAGGTCGGTCAGTTAGGCTTCCATCGCCTCCAGGTGAGCCAAGGGCCAAAGGCAGAGCTCGGACAAACGATGCTCTCGCCCCTGAGCCTCAGGGTCCTGCTGGCTGCCTCGGAAGCGCCCTGAACCGGGGAAAGCGCGCCGCCTGCGCCGGAAGGTGACATTTAGGCCAGAGGACAGGCTGGTTGGCGGGCGGGGAAGTGGCCACGCGGCGCAGGGCGGCTGAAGCCCCCCGCATGTGTCCCCGGCCCCAGAATCTCGAAGGCAGCCGCAGGGTCTCTGCGGCCACCCGAGGCGGCATGGGGCCGCGCCGGGGAAGCTCACTCTTTGTTGTAGCCCTCTGATAGGCTGTTTAAACAGCTGAAAAAAACTTACACTTTTTTTTTTTTTAATTAAAAAAAATTAGCTTCAGAAAACATGCCCCATCCAGGTTTGGGCTGTAGGAGCCCAGGCGCCGTGTTGAGGCCACGAGCGGCAGGCCGGGCCCGCAGCCTGCAAAGGCCCAGCGCTCCTCCCCGCGTTCCCAGGGCGCTCTCATGGCCTCAGGGGGGTGGGGGAGGTTATTTGTGGGGCTTCTGCTGTCTGGCGCACACGAAAAAAGAGCAGTTCACATTTCGAAAAGGCTCATGGGGGTGTATTGGTTATCTGTATCTCTCACTGAGGGGAAAAACAAAGACGACAGGGAATAGTGGCCACGCCAGGCCCGGGGGCTTGCCAGCGCCCCGCAGGTTCATTGCTTGGCTCGGGGATGCGCTGTGGCACTAACCGATCTCTCTCTCTTCGGAAGTCTGATCCAATTTACCAAACCACCTGCATGGTGAAATAGAGACACTGGAGAGCAGAACAGAGCGTGGGCCAGCGGCGGTCCTCTGGGCGCCCTTCGCTTAGCGCAGGGGGAGGGGATGGAAACACAGACACCAGGCACTTGCCACCTACGCACAGGGCTGGTAGGGGACATGTCCGACTGGGAGACTAGTTATTCTCCTGCGACACTAAGTCTCTCCCAGAGGATACAATCCATTAACTATCCATGCATCTGGGTCGGCTGACTGTATGAAAGTCTATTACGTAAAAATATGATCAGAGCTACGTTTGTCTCAGGATGGGTTCACTGTGGAAACTGGGGTTCCGATTGGGCAGAAATAGAAAGAAGGGAGCTGAGCACACGGGCGACGTCAGAGCTCCGGATGGCTGGCCGCAGGCCTGAGGCGGGGAGAGGGCCCTGAGGGGAGAAGGCGGGTGCGGGAGGCGGCCGCACTGGCACGGACGCGCCCCTCCCCGTGAGTGATGAGGTGCCCCGAGGTAACGCTGGGGGCTCAGGAACGATGCTGCATGAAAACAGGGACCCCCAGAGCAGATTTCAGTTTTGCAGTGCTTTTAATTATATCTTCAAATAAACCTGTCATTTTAAATGCATAGGCAGACAGTTCCATTCATCTACCATGAACCTAAATAGTTACACTTCTTGGAGCGGCAAGGAAAACAACTGACTTTATGAGCCTATTTACGATTGAGAGTTATGGGTAAAGAGGGTGATGATTTTGCATGGCTGGTAAGATGAGTGAATTAAGTGCAATAGGTCAAACGCTGGTGTATATTCAAGACACTGATCACTTGCAGAACATACCACAAAGGGTGATGTCCAAGTCCCAACCAACGATTTTGATCTATAGGTCTCAGGTAAGACCCAGCATCTACATGTTCAATAAACCTTTTTTTTTTTTTTTAATCTTTTGACCCCCTTCATCCACTCTCCACTGCACCCCACCCCGACCTCTGGCAACCGCCAATCTGTCCTCTGCACCTATGAACATATTTTTAGATTCCATAATATAAGAGAGATCATACAATAATTGTTTCATTTAGCATGAGTGCTCTCCAGGTTCATCCATGTTTTTGCAAATGGCAAGATTTCATCCTTTTTAATGGCTGAATAATATTCCATGGTACCACAATCCTTCATCTGTCCATCCATCAGGGGGCACTCAGGTTGCTCCCATATCTTGGCTATTTAATTAAAGCTGCGATGAATACGGGGGTGCAGATATCTTTTCCAGTCAGTGTTTTTGTTTTCTTCGAATCAATACTCAGAAATAAAATTGCTGGATCATACGGTAGGTCATTTATTTAGATTTTCAGAGGAACCTCCATACTGTTTTCCATAGTGGCTGAGCCAGTTTGCATTCCCATGAAGAGTGCCTGAGGGTTCCCTTTTCTCCAAATCCTCGCCTATGCATCACCTCCTCTCTTCTAGAAAACAGGTGTTCTATCAGGTGTGAGCCGAGAGCTTAGTGTAGTTTTGATTTGCATTTCCCTGACGATTAGTAACATAGAGCATGTTTTTATGTACCTGTTGTCCATCTATATGTCTCCTTTGGAAAATATCTATTCAGATCCTCTGCCCATTTTTAATGGAATTTTTTTTTTTTTTTTTTGCTATTGAGTTGTACGAGTCCTTTCTCTATTTCAGATATTAGCCCGTTAGCAGATATCTGATTTGCAAATACATTCTCCCACTCAATTGACTGCCTTTCCATTTTGAGGATGGTTTCCAAGGCTGTGCAGAATCTTCTTAGTATGATGTGGTACCGCTCACTTATTTTTGCTTTTAGTGTCAGATTTTTAAAAAATCATTGCCAAGACCTATCTCAAGGAGCATACTGCCTATGTTTTCTTCTAGAAATTTTATTATAATTTCATGCCCTACAAAGGGAATGATATAGTATGCCTTGCTGTCCGACTTCTTTGTTGTCACATATACTTTTAAGTTATGTGGATGCTGTGTGTATCAGCTCGGACCTTCTTATTCCTGGATAGCATCGCATATAATGATACATCATGATTAGTTTATATATCTACCTGTTGATGAACACTGGGTTATTTCTAGT